GTTTAAGAAAAATTCGGCAACATTTCGCCTTTGCTCCTAAGTATATATAGAAATATATACCTAAGGAGTAAAGAGAAAATAACAACCAAATCTATCTTAAATAATCAAGCATGTAATACGCATTCACATCCTAAATAAGATAAAGTATTCAAAAAGCAGTCCTAAAACCGGGACAATCCAAAATTAATTTCTAAATCAATTTCGACTGGGTATTTCTAGGCTCTTATTGATTTAAAAGGAAGATACTTCAACTAAAAAACCTACTTTTTTATTATAGCATTGTACTTTAAGTAATTTAGTTTTTAGAATCTTTTCTTATGTTGTAATTTTTCATATATATATTTTACTTATAACATCTTTTCTATTATGACATTGTACTTTTTCATATTTTTTTTATTTACAAGATTTTTCTTATGTTGTTTTCTATTATAATATTTTACTTTAAATGACATTGTCAATTATAGCATCCTATTTTTTTTCAATTATAGTATTGTACTTTTTCATATATTTTTTATTATATATTTCATTTTTTTTTATTTGTTTTCTATTATAATATTGTACTTTAAATGACATTATGAATTATAGCATCTACTTTTTTTTAATTATATCATTGTACTTTACATATATATTTTTTTTATTATTTATTGCGTTTTTCTTATTTGTTTTCTATTATAGTATTATACTTTAAATGACATTATCAATTATAGCATCATACTTTTTTGTTTTTTCGATTATATCATTGTACATTATATATTATGGAGTTTTGATGACTAGACTAATTAAGTCATAACAAGTTACATACAAATACAGATGTACACACTTATCAAATACAACTATATATATATATATATATATATATATATATATATATATATATATATATATATATTGTACTTTAAATGACATTATGAATTATATATATATATATATATATATATATATATATATATATATATATATATATATATATATATATATAGTTGTATTTGATAAGTGTGTACATCTGTATTTGTATGTAACTTGTTATGACTTAATTAGTCTAGTCATCAAAACTCCATAATATATAATGTACAATGATATAATTGAAAAAACAAAAAAGTATGATGCTATAATTGATAATGTCATTTAAAGTATAATACTATAATAGAAAACAAATAAGAAAAACGCAATAAATAATAAAAAAATATATATGTAAAGTACAATGATATAATTAAAAAAAAAGTAGGATGCTATAATTCATAATGTCATTTAAAGTACAATATTATAATAGAAAACAAATAAAAAAAATGAAATATATAATAAAAAATATATGAAAAAGTACAATACTATAATTGAAAAAAAAATAGGATGCTATAATTGACAATGTCATTTAAAGTAAAATATTATAATAGAAAACAACATAAGAAAAATCTTGTAAATAAAAAAAATATGAAAAAGTACAATGTCATAATAGAAAAGATGTTATAAGTAAAATATATATATGAAAAATTACAACATAAGAAAAGATTCTAAAAACTAAATTACTTAAAGTACAATGCTATAATAAAAAAGTAGGTTTTTTAGTTGAAGTATCTTCCTTTTAAATCAATAAGAGCCTAGAAATACCCGGTCGAAATTGATTTAGAAATTAATTTTGGATTGTCCCGGTTTTAGGACTGCTTTTTGAATACTTTATCTTATTTAGGATGTGAATGCGTATTACATGATTGATTGTTTAAGAAAGATTTGGTTGTTATTTTCTCTTTACTCCTTAGGTATATATTTCTATATATACTTAGGAGCAAAGGCGAAATGTTGCCGAATTTTTCTTAAACAGTCAATCATGTAATATAAATTTGCATATGAGGTAAAGTATTCAAAAAGTGAGTTTAGAAGCCTACCTTTGTGAATACTCTTTCCACTGTCAGGTTTTTGTTACTGTTTCGATACTGTTTTTTGAATCATCGATTTTACTCTACCTTTATAAATATTGCACCCGATTTAGCGGTTACTCTATCCTTATAAATATTCAATCCTATTTTTAGTTCTTGTAGAAGAAGCACTAAAACCTAACTTTTGTTTCAGTTGCAACATGTCTATTGATAAAACCTTGACTACTATTAAAAACCATAACTCTACCGTGTTCCAACAAGGACTCGAATCTTTTATCGAGAGGTCTAAAACACACGTCGATAACAATGGTCAAATCTGATGCCCATGTAACAAATGTAATATCAAAAAACTTATTCTACTAGCCATAATGAACTTTCATATACTTCAACATGGATTTAGTCCACATTATATTAAATGGAAGCATCACGGTAAAAATACTGTTCATCCGGTTGTAGAAAACATAACACGTAGTAAGGAGATGGTCGATGTTATTGCTAATGTTATGGGGGATGTGATTGAAAACAATACGAACTGCGATGAAGGGAACCCATATACAGAGGGTAGTGGTTTCGTTGATGGATCTAAAAATCTATTAGAGGAAGTCTAATTAAAATTTTATCTTGGATGTACTTCGTTTTTCCCTTGACTTTTTGGGAAAGCTGATGCATATCAAGGTGATCAAAAAATGGACTGATAGTTCAATCGATTAGCTTCTTGAGTTGTTGCAAGCTGCATTTCCTCAAGGAAACAGGGTCCCCCCATCACATTATAAAGCAAAAAAGACACTTAAAAAGATCTGCTTTAGTTATGAGTTGATACACGTATGTAAAAACGACTGCTTTCTTTTTTTGGAAAGAACACAAGTTGTTGTAAAAGTGTCCAGTTTGTAATGAGAGTCGGTGGGTTGATGAAAATATAAACGGTAAGAAAATGGCTCATAAGGTGTTATGATACTTTCCCATTACCCCCAGACTACAATGTTTGTACTATTCTAGACACACAACTAAAGATATGATTTGGCATAGTACCGGACGATCAGAAGACAATAGAATGCTTCATCCCGTTGATGGTACTTCATGGGAAAAATTTGATATGAAGTACCCTAACTTCTCGAGGGAACCCGAGAACGTACTCTTAGGGCTTGTTGCTGATGGTTTTAATCCATTTCATAACAAGTGTAATCCTCACAGCACGTGGCCCGTCATATTCACCACTTACAATATTCCACCATGGCTATGCATGAAAGATTCCTCCTTCATGTTGACCTTGTTGATTCCCGACCCCAAAGCACATGGAAGGACTTGGATGTGTTCGTTAGGCCGTTGGTGGATGAGTTGAAGCAGTTGTGGAGTTTTGGCGTACGTACTAAAGACACAACGACGGGTATATTCTTCAATATGAAAGTGATGTTGTTATTGAAAAATAACGACTTTCCAACTCATAATAGTTTATCCAGTTGGAGTGGCAAAGGGTACAGAGCTTGTTCGACTTGCAATGAAGACACTACGTGATACCGAGTATCAATTAAAGTTGTATATGTTGGTCTTCACCGATTCTTATATGTTGACCATCCATGGAGAAAAAAATATACTATAACGGCCAACACGAGACAAGAGACCCTCCAAGACATTTTAGTGAGGAAGAAATACAAGTGCAACACGATCGTCTATTGTCTCATCCGTCGGGTAAAGTAGTTGCTTAACGAGCTAGTATAAAGAGAGGTCGTGAGGATTTCGAGTTGAATTGGTCTAAAAAGAGCATATTCTTTGAACGTGAATATTGGTCTTCTCTGGAGCTGAAGCACAACTTCGATGTTATGCATACTGAAAAAAATGTCGGTGAGAGTCTTTTAGGTAATTCTCTGATAAATGATAAGTATAAAGACACATCAAATGCTCAGGCCTACTTGACAAAACTGAACATTTGGAAAAGTCAATGGTTGAAAAAGAGTGGCAACAAGTTCCTTAAACCCCATCCATCTTACCCGTTCACGAAAACTGATCGCATTTGTTTTTGTGAGTTTATAAGAGATATTAAATTGCCAGATGGGTTTGGATCTAACATCAGTAAAAAAAGTGAATGAAAATAATACTAACATTATTAGGCTGAAATCTCATGATTATCACATTCTGATTATGCTAGTGATGTGTCAGCAGACACTGAAAGTGTCTGAGGCCGAGAATGATTAAAAAATATTTATAAATGACTTGCAAAATAAGATTAGTATTTGATGTAATCATATCATATTGTCAGTATATATATATATATATATATATATATATATATATATATATATATATATATATATATATATATATATATATTATGTTATAGTGTTTCAGGATGTCATTTTTTTGGATTGCATTGCTCCATCTTATAGCTATTAAGATGGGCCATGGAGATGACGGTAGCGACGAGCCACCACATCCGTTCGTTGGAGGTTTTGGTGATCACCAGATCGATGGTAGTTAAGATTTATTCTAATTCATTGTATTTCATATTGTATGTATATAAAAAATTATCGTGACTAATATTTTTTTATACAATTGTACCTCCAAAACAAAGAGGCATGGCAGTAAACAAAATAATGTATAAGTTATTTGAAGCAAACGATAAGAATACTTTCTTGCCGGTTTGGGAAGTATATGAATGCTTCATTTGGGAGGTTGGGAATTATATGTGGCGTGGCATCGCTTTGGATAAGAACGTCTGGAAAGAAGTTTCTGAAGCCGAAAGGAAGGGCATGCTCCACTATCTTTCGGTAAATTATTTATAAAGTTATATTTAATATGTTTAATTTTGATTTATTTTTAACTTCTCTATTTTTTTGTAGACATGGTTTGATTTTCAAGAGATTTCAAATGATACCATGGCTTCAGTTTTTTGGGTGTCACTGAACAATCAAATATGTGCACAGTATAGATGCTGCAAACATATTGCAAAAACTCATTTTATTGATTTGCAAGGGGATGTCGAGGCATCAAGGGATCAACCCCCCCCCCCCTCCCCCCCAATCGGTATGGATCCGTAGCATTGGAGTACTACTATTAACCACTTCCTAACAGATAAGCATAAATAACGATCCAGTGAAAACACAAAATACCAGAAGAAGCAAGTAGTTTAGAATCATGGAGAGACGTGCAACTACGATAGTGCTTGTTTTAAGAACGTAAGTTACAGTAATGTTTATTCATTTATAACATATTTTGTAATGTTTATTCAATAATAACATATTTTGTAATGTTAAACAAAATTAGAATATACTTGAAGCATTTCACCGTGAGCATGTCAATAAACAACGAAAATTTGTTGACCTGTTAGTCCAAGACCAATATGTAAGTTTTTATTACTTAAAAATGAAGTAAATTGTTTTTTTTTGTTTTAGTTTTAAAGTATATTGACAATCTTCGTGAAATACAAAATGCTTTAGTTGGTGAGATTGCATTACAAACTCCGCACATAACTGACTCCGGTGGTGATCTGAACTCCATTGATTGGATAACCATATTTGTGAAGGTGTTAGGTGCTCGAAGGGGACATGTGATAGGCATCAGACCTAAACCTCCTTCCGCAACGGGTACAAGTGCACCCTCTCAGTGGCAGTCACACTCACACACACAAGCACCGCAACCAACATAGGTACTTTTTAAACTCTTAAAGAATTTGGTAGCTTGGTACTTTGCTATATTGTTAAGAACTTGATGCATTTATAGTAAATTTTGGTGGTTAGATACTTTGCTTATTTGTTAAGTGCTTAATTCATTTGTCATAAATTTGGTAGTTTTGTAGTTTGTTATATTGTTAAAGACATAATTGATTTGGTAGTTTGATAGTTTGTTAAATTTTTAAAGACTTAATTCATTTGGTGGTTTGATTGATTGTTAAATTGTTAATGACTTAATGTGCTTGTGACTTAATCGTTAAGTAATAATATTTTTTTAGTTTGATATTTAAATTATATACTTACATTGTAGGATGTGGATGTTAACACTTTTTTCCAAACCCCGACGTTTGTGAAAGCAATTGGAGATATTATCCGCTTGTTTAAGAACCAAGTCAACAACACGTGCAACAACGACGCGGAAAACAACGATGGGGAAGACGAAGACGCATAATATTTCTTATTTTATGTTATGGATGATGTTATTATGTATTTATTAGATAATTTATGGATGGGATTGACTAGTATTTCTTGTTTATTAGATCGTTTATGTAATGTGGTATATTTGATGTTTTATGTAATGTGATATATATTGTTTTATGTTATTTAATGTTCTATGTAATGTAGATTTGTAGATTATAATTTCTGTATTTTTTTTAATTTTTGCATTTTATAATATATAAACTAGTACCATATATAAATTGTATTAAAAAAATTAGCGGCGACAACTTTTGAGACGACCTATACCAATTGCGACGACGAGTGCATCCGGGAAGCTTGGCTGGAAAAAACTCTCGAAGAAAACGGAGCCAAGTATGCACGTAACCAAGTTTCTTGCTTGGGAATTTCCTTTCGGTGGCCGGGATATTAATAGGGACGACACTAATAGCGTCTACGAGGGCTTTTAGCGACGCCAACTATTAGAGACGACACTAATTATTTTTGAGTATTAGCTACGAGTTAATAGCGGTGATCCTTTTGCGACGACTTGTCGCCGCTAAAGGTATTAGCGACGATTTGAGGCATCAACTGCAATGTTATTTGTCATCGTTAAGGTAACTTTTTTTTTTTTGGTGATATGAGAACCGTAACTTTATAAAATGACAGAAATTATGCATGTTTTGAGAATAAATTTAAAAAATGGTTCATTATAAAAAATTACATAAACAATCCTCATCTAATACAAAATTATAGAAATAGTCTTTTTATAGATTTAAAAAAATGATAGAAATGGTTCTTGTTTTGACAAAATACTTCCGAAATGTTTTATGTTAAAAATACGGAAATTATCCCCATCTAACGAAGTTACAGTAACGAGCCTATGTAAGAGAAAGTTACCAAAATGGTGCTTAATTATGTAATAACGAAAGTTTTTTCTTACTATTTTGGTTTATACCAACCTTTTGTGTTACTTTATTAATGTTTGTTTGGGTTTTAATGCCTCTTAAAAGGAGACACATCTAAATTTATAAAATTTAGATCGTTTGGTAGCAACTTAATTTATTATTTGAATTCCAAAAAGAGATTTGACCGAATCATATGTAAACCCATGTCTGAATTTTTTTTGTTTGACACGCTTCCTAATATGCCCCGACCTAAACATGTGTTCCCTCTTCTCCTCCACATCGCTTGCTTCTTCGGCCGTTTGCGGTTCTCCACATCGTTCGCATCTCTGGCCATCTCCCTCTAGGTCATCGCCGTCGCTGACCCTTGAACCTCCTCCACCGAGTTCCTCCATCAACCCTCACACCCTTCTCCGAAAAATATGTCGCCGCCAACTTCGCTTCCTTCACCAGCGACTCCAATCTGCGGTTCTAGGTAACCCTTTTCTTTTCTTTTTCTCCTGAAAAATCGATTCTTATACATTGATTTGTTCTTTTTTTAACCTGAAGTCGATTATCAACAGGCCATGATTCATATGGTCTGACCACTTTATCAACATACATCGACTGATTTTGGGGATAGTTACTACTCCCTCCGTCCCAAACTGATTTTGGGGATAGTTACTACTCCCTCCGTCCCAAAATTACTGTCCACAGACAAAAAACACATAGATTAAGGAAATATTAGTTATCACTAACTTTATATTATAAAATGATAGTTTTGTTCTTACTTTGCATTTAATGTTCCATTAAATGCTTAATTGGTTGTAATAATGAGAGGGTATTTTGGTAAAAATGTTATTTATTTTTAGAAGTTGACTATTATTTTGGGACAAACCAAAAAGCAAAGATAGACTATAATTTTAGGACGGGGGGAGTATTTTATTTCCTAAATTGGAATACATCTAGTTCAAAATCCATGATAGATGAATTTTTGTTGAAGGAATGCCTATATGTGAAGCATTTGCACAGATATAACAACCCAACATCTATGTTGTTGAAGGAATGCCTATATGTGAAGCATTTGCACATATATAACAACAACCCAACATCTATCATGTTCATGTCAAGTAGTTTGATGAGGTTTGTGTTGATAAACTCAAATTAGGAAGGTTATGAAGTTTTCTTTTAATGGTGTTTTGTTAACACTTGATACTTATTTTATACATGATACATTAAGGTTGGATGTTGTTATAAGCTTTCCCAGATCATGTCTTTCATCTTTGTTTTGATACCCCATGTGTTGTTGCGTGGTATATTTTGTAATGCAACTTACGTTGAACATTTGATTTTGAATGACATACAAACAATTTTTTATACATAGAGTGTTAATAAATTATTATTTTTTTGATTGGGTTTTCAGGTGAAATAGATGAAGATTTTGCAAGCTTATTTTTCCGAAGTTGTCAAAGTTGTTTGTCATATATGTCTCAAAATTAGTTGGATATAGATATATTGAAAACTCAAAGCTCAAATTAAAGAATACCCCATCTTAAAAGATCAAAGCTCATAACTCGGTGGGAAAATTTTTGACCTTCAATGTCAAATATGTTGTATTTTAACTTTGAAACCCTTGGGACATACAAAAAATGATTGTTATTTTTGTAAATTTATCTGAAAAGATCATTACAAATTAATGAAGATAAATTTTGATTTATATTAATTTGGATTTTGTATGGTGTTTATCTTTTTTTTTATTCAGCAAAAAATAATATAAAAGGGTAAAATGGTCATTTTCATAATTCAGCACAATAATTCAGAGGTTCCAATTCATTAGTACAAAAAAGACCTACGATCACACTTTCCGAAAAATGGTCTGTGACACTTTTTATTAAAATTGGGGCCAAAGGTCACTAAAAAAATTTAAAGACTGTTTTTGGATACATTTAAATTAGTTTGTGTGGCCATTGTATAGATAATCAAAACTTTAACCACACTTAAATATACCAAATGTGACAAATATTAGTCACACTCGAACACTGAGGCCATAGGTCACAATCAACCACGGGAATCGATTAAGATTGTCATACTTTTTTATGAGAGACAGTAGATAAACGTATTGTGACATGAGTTAGTTTTATGTGTGTCTATAACCTGGTGCCTTTTTAGCCACCTAACAGACAAAGTAGCTAAAAGGTGATACATATGGTCACAGTAAATATTTGTGTGTCCATTGGGCGGTTCTGTACTAGTTGTACTTAGTTAACGCAAGAAAAGAAAACAAGTTAGTATTGGTTATTTATGGTCATGTACCTTTTATTATGCGTGTCAAAATATTATGAATTGACTTTGAGAAGAAACAAATATTGTGTGTGTAGGTAGCATTTAGTTATGATTACAACTATTATATGTGTCTATATGTAAATATAGTTATAAAAGAACAATAATGTCTTAACGGTATAATAAGGGGTTGTTCATTGAATATGTTACTATAATTATGTAATGTTCATTCTGGTTGTACTATTGTATTTGTAAGTTTAAAGAATAGTCTTTATAAAATGAAAATTTATTAATGTAAAACTGAAATTGTTTCCTGGTTAAGTTATTATACAAAAAATGACAATTTTAGACTTTTTGCAAGACTCTTAAATTTGACCATATTTATCTTTCATATCATTTGGCAGAATAAAAAATGAACAAAAAGTTCAATCATGGCATTTTACAAAAGTACATTACTTTTTTTGCAATTAAAGGGTTGTATAAATTATTGAAAAAAATTGAATGGCAGTTTTGTAAAGTTAGAAACAATTTCTGAAAAAACCAAAAATAAACTAAAAATAATAAAAACAAAAACAAATAACAATATAGTTGTATTGAATAAGAGCTATAAGAAAGGACCAAATTGCCCTTTTTGTCATCTATTCTTTTAATTGCACCAGATCATACACCATTAAAAATGAAAAGAATACAACTTATTTTAACAGAATAGTATGATAAATAAATGAAAAGAATACAACTTTGTCTAACATTGCATAACGAAAGTACATTGCTATAACATGCAGTTTATGTTATAACATGTCATCCACCATTACAGTAAAAAACTGAAAAAAAATAACTTTGAGTTATAACAATATTACACCAGAATAGTTTGATGGTATAATATGGTAAAAATATATTAAGGAAAGTACATCGTCATTTTTTGTCATTTTCTTATTCTCCACGTAACGCTAGGATCAAGGTTTGGCATTTCCCTTCTACAAACAAAAATAAAGATCATTAAATGTTAAAAGAAGGAAAAATATTATCGCTACAAATGTGATTCATGACATTAAGAAACACATACCGTACGTATAAGAATACCATGACAATCAGTACGAAAATCATCATTTTCCTTCTGAAAGTCAAGTGTGTCTACACGTGGCAATATATTATCATTATGAGGAACTACAATACTAAATGCTTCATCTACATCTTCATATGTATCTCTATAATTTTTGGGAGGTGTCTTGAACACAATAGACATTTTTTGATCGAGCGGGTTTGTCACGTAAAATACTTGTTGTGCTTGTGAGGCCAATATGAAAGGATCACCTTTATGGCCTAATCTTTTTAGTTCAACTAGTGTGTACCCCAATTTATCCCTTTTTACCCCATTT